AAGGTTAAAGACTTCATTAACAGTGGATTAGATAATTTCTAATATCTTTTACAATCGAAAGAGAAAATTTTTATTCAATGTATGTGGAGTTTTTAGATTCTTAGCAAGGTTAGTAAAGTGATACATATCCTTTAATGTATGTGGAGTTTTTAGATTCCTAGTAAGGTTAGTAAAGTAATACATATCCTTTAAGTATATATTTTAAAAAAATTAATTAAAAAATAAAATATGTTTCAATCTCTTAATTTTACTTGTGAAATTAAAAAATTACACTAATAAATATCAAATACTAACTTTAGTTAAAATCTATCCTCAAAAGAGATTCTGTGCTTGACACGTGCTGAGTTACTTATTTGCTACATAATCAAATTAAATACATTTATTTTTTAAAATAAAAAATGTATTTAATAAAATAAAAAAATATATTTATTAGATGACAAATGATGTTTATTTATAATTGTATACGTGTAAAAAAAATAAAACATCCATTTTAGATTTTTTATCTTTATTAAAGTTTTGATTTTTATATATTTATATAAGATAAAAAATGTATCAAAGTCCCTACAACCATATCTTGCTCAATAAAAAATATATTTGTTTGTATTTTTAAGAATAATAAATATGATGTTAATGATAAAATTATAAAATGAGTTTTGTTAGATGAAAATTATTACGAAATTATTGCTCAAAATTGATAAAAAAAAATTCGTTCATCTTTATCAAACCCATTGAACTGATTGATAATATGTAGGGTCGGTTATTAAAAATAAGTATATTATTTCAATTATTTTTTTAAAAAAATTATTAAATCAATTTTTTATTTTTCAATACCGATGGTGTAACTATTAACACATGAAAATTGTTCAATAAAAATGAAAGGAATTAAGAGTCCTGACAAAAAAAAAAAAAGAATCAGGAGTAAACCACCTTACCCAGCCCAGCCCAACCTTAACCAACCGGTCAAACCAGTTGCCAGTTGCCAGTTGCCACCTACAAAAAGAAATCTAGCCAGACAGATTGACGGACTCACGGGGTCAACAAAACTATAGAAACCAACAAAAACAATTTCTTGGCATCGAAAAACCTTTTTATTTTATTAAAAGCAAGAATTTCAATCATGGATTCTTCATCAAGCTTCTCAGCTTAGCAAATTGAGTAGAAATTACACCGCCCTCCATCAATTTTTTAAATAGTTTATTTTTTAAAATAAATGAGGATTTCGCATTTGAACTGGAGTTTCTCTCTTTTTTATGAAATATTCCTCTTTACATCTTCGTCTTCTCAATAATCCGCTGCTGCAAAGGTGCTTTTCCAAATCTGGGATTTCGTTTTTTGTTTTTTTTTTTTTAAATTTCTTATGTTGTTATAATTTAATTTATTAATCTCATTATTTATTTGCAGCCTTTTTTTTTTGTCGCTATTGACTTGATTGATTAACGGCTGTGATTAAATCTTCTTCAGCTTCATTTTGTAGCTCATCTCAATTTATTTGTTCGAGGTAAGCTAGTTTCTTTTCTGCTTGAAATAATTTGATTTTTCTATTGATGTTTTCTTTTGTTTCTTTATGCTTGAGTCTTGAGTTGGAATTTAATGGATTTTTCCCTTTATTTTCAAATTTATTCATATTTTTATGGTTCCGTTTAGTTTAATTATAGTTTTATGGAGGGAAATAGGCTAATTGAGGTAGCATTTTAGTTGATATGATGATGCTTAATTTCCTCTTTCTTATGCTGAAATATTCATGGTTTAATGAATTTTCGATCTCAGGCTGCATAGAATGAACATTGTTATGGGTTCTAAATGCATTAATAAATATGGTTTGGATATACATATAAAGGAGTTGCTTTTAGACTTTAGTTGGAAAAGTGGGCTTCTAAAAACATTTTATCTAGGGTCTTTTCTGAGAAGTTGTTTGTATAATGTTGTGATTTAATGGTTTTGTTGTGTGTTTCAGAATTATATGTCAATGGTGGACTTAAAAGAGCGTCTGCTTCCGCCAAAACCTCAATCGGCTATAAATGTTAGAGATGCTTCTTGTAGGGCATCTGCCTCTGGATGCCAACCTTTCCGAGGGATGGATTTGTTGGGATTAAAGAAGCGGGGCCAAGGGCTCCGATCTTGGATCCGTGTTGATACATCTGGGAATTCCCAGATCATTGAGGTTGACAAGTTTACTATGATGCGTCGTTGTGATCTACCAGCCCGGGATCTGCGGCTTCTTGATCCTTTGTTTGTTTATCCCTCCACAATCCTTGGTAGAGAGAAGGCTATTGTTGTAAATTTAGAGCAGATACGGTGTATCATCACTGCTGATGAGGTTCTACTCTTGAATTCCCTTGATAGCTATGTATTGCAGTATGTTGTGGAGCTACAAAGGCGACTAACAAGTGGAGTATGTGAGGTTTGGCAATCAGAGGGTCCTGAGTTGAACCGAAGAAGAAGCAATAGGAGTTTTGACAATGTATATGGAACCACATCTGCTGATTATTTGCCCTTTGAGTTTAAGGCTCTTGAGATTGCTTTGGAAGCTGCCTGTATGTTCCTTGATTCACAGGTGCGTCAAAGGGGAAACAAAAATTTCTTATTGTGTTTGAATTAAATGAGTGATGATAAACAAATGGTACTTGTTTAAAGATAAACTTGTAGTCCTAAAATTATTCGCCTGAGAATATAGTCTGCTGAAAAATGGAAGGTTCAAAAATTTTGTTTCAATTCATGAATTGGAGATTGAACCTAAGAACAGCATGTGTAGTATGATGCAGGTATCTGGTTTATTCAAACTGATTAAAATTTTATACAATTAGAATTTTTTGATGACAATGTCCTCTCTCTGTCTCCCTCTTCATCTTCGCACCCCTCTTTTTGTCTACAATCATGACAATCTTCATATCCCTTAATATAAAGAATGTGTTTTTGGTTTGTGATTAGGTATTAATTTTGTTTTGATGACTTCTTTTTTTTTCTTTTTTTTTTGTAAAAGGGCAGAAGATACATAGATTGCTGATTTGCTTTTTGATTGTCGAGGATGGTGAACTAATGTAAAAGTTAAGGAAAATAAACGAGGCATAGAACACCAAGTCATATGTAATAATGTTGCATATTTTGTTACTTGCCTTTGACTGGGTTTTTCATCGTTATTTTATTGGATTGTAAGACTAATATAAATGATATAGAGAACATTTTATTTTGCTGTATTTGGCTGCTATGTTGAAATTTCCTGGCCACAAAAGATCTCTTCTGCGTACATTCACATGATTGTTAAGCAAAGTCTGCCATTAGCTTTACTGTAGAATAAGATGTATCTCTTTTTTATTTCTTTTCTTAGGTGACGGTTCTTTTAAAATTCAATTTTGTCATGCTACTTGTTACAGATTAAGTACTATCTAGGGAACTTGTGCTGAACTTATCTTCATATTTTTTTTATGGTCTTTCTGAATCTCATCTGACTAGAAGGCACACAAGTATCTTGTTCTTTAGCTTGTTATTTATGGACTATTAACTTTGGCATGTTCCATTTACAGATTAAGAGTAATGTCTGTAGGACTTGTTTTGAGCTACCAAATCTTTCTAACATCGAGTTTTTTATGATTGGTTGAGTTTCACCTTGAACTAAAAGACACATAGATATTTATTGGGTCCTTGATACATTCGAATTTACTTTTAGAAGATTCTTGAATTGGAAGGTATTGTAAAATGTAAGAACTTTGACTGGTAGGTGAATTTAAACGTCACTGACAAATCTAGTACCATTCATCTATATTATTGCCTGTACCTGATGGGCAGATTGAGTATGATCAGGCTGGGTTGTTCTGGATTGGTTCATTTTTTGTTTGATGACTTCAGACTTTTCCTGATTATTTCAGCTTTGGATCATCAAGTTTTTGAGTTACTTTGGGTTGATTTTTGGGAGGCTTGGGCTGGTTTTCTAAGATCAGGTCAATTTTTGCCACATTGTACCATTTTACTCTGGGAGCAAATAATAAGTGCATTTGAGTTTGTGTTGGCTTTGGGTTCTGGTCATTTCGAGTACAGGTCTTTACAAGTTTGGCCCAAGGTTGGCTCATTGACTGGTTTAGCAATTTCAGTTGGGTTGATTTGGGCTTCAGCTGGATTATGTGGGTCAGTTAGGTTGGGTAAGGTTTTCCCACCTCTAGTTCCTTAGGAGAGAGAAAGTGCAACCATGAATATTTCTTTTCTCTGAGTTCCAAGCTTTGAACCTTAATCTCATTTCTTTCTAAAGCCATTTAGAGAAAATGGAAGCGTAAGCATAGAAGATAACATTTCCCACTAGTTCAAGCATTGGTCCTTTCTTCATATGCCTATAATTGGTCTCTAACAGCATGCTATCCTAACTATTAGTAGATTTGTTGGGGATAGTTTTCTGGGCTGTTGTTTTTAATGACTTCTTGATCTTAACTTCTTCCATTTTCAGGTAAAGTGAATAGAAATTTTAGCATCATAATTATTTTCCATCTGGAATTCCTATCAAATGAATGCTTAACTAGTCTAAGGTGACACTTAAAAGAATTGAATAATAAAATCTCTTCCACTCTCAATTATAATAACAATTATGAGTTTGATTCAAACCCCTTTCTTTTTTTTTTTTTCATTGCTTAAGGATTTGAAAGAAATTTGAATGTCATTTTAATTTATTATACAAAGTTTCTCTTAAAGTCCATATTTCTATCCTTTAAAAGCTCTTGAGAACTATTGTCTTCATGTTAAAGAGCTACATCTTGCATGGTGTTTGATTGATACATTACTTACCTTTCAAAAATAAAACCTTCATCTGCCCAAATCCAATTATTTCTTGAGAACTTAAGTAAAAGAGCCAACCTGTGTGCTTTCTTCTGCCAAAACTATGTCCTAATGTGTGCGTGCTATGCAATTCCTTAGATATATGGAATGTGAAAATTTTGTTTTTAGCTGACTATCACTAAGGTGATAATCTATTGAGGTGAATCTTATGTGGATTGGGAGGCTCACAAATTCCAAGTGGGATTATAACAACTGTGGTGTCATGAATTTCATGCCCTGACCAGAAGAAAAAAATAATAAATATTTGTGTGTCTAAAGATGAATATTCTCAACACATTCACCAACACTCTAAGCTTGTATCCAGAGGAAGCTTATATTCTGTTGAAGTCACAATAAATCAATAATTTTGTCCAGGGAAAGAGATGTCTTGAGACTGGGATGACGCATTTGGATATTAGTTGCAGAATCTTGACCAGCTATCTTGAACTTTATATCAGGATTAACCCTGTATTCTGTTGAAGTAACATCAAATCAAAGGGGAAAAAGATTCTTGTGACCGGAGTGATGCATATTAATTGTCTATTATATATGTATGTAGAATTTTAAAATTTGAGTATTTCTTTGAGTGGGAAAGCAACTGAAAGAACCCAAAGTTTTGAGACCCATCCCATCCAGTATCTTTTCTTTTGGAGAGAATCATGATGACCTGTCATGGTGGATCCCATAATAGGTGGTGGGGCCAGCTGAAGTGGATTGTCAAAAGCCTCTGTAGTTGTTGCATGTACTAGCAAGAAATCTTCTAATTTACAAGGATGAGGTTGAAAAAACAGCAATCAGAGCATTGACTTGAAATCTATGTAGTTTGAAAATGAATTGATTCAAAGAAGTAAACTTTAAAAGGGCAATTTTATAGTGAACATTCCTGCCCAGGCAGATCACTGGGAAGAGAGGCAGCTAATTGTCAATACTGAATTGCTAGGATATAGTGCCATCCTGTATCTCAATTTTGTTTTTGTTTCTTTTTTCCTTGAATCTTGGATGACTGGCATGACATACATGTTTTCTTGTATTTCTTAAAATAAACTTTTATTTCTTTCTGGCCAAATATGCCACAAGGCATTCATGGTACTAACTCTTAGTTCATATATTCTGTCTACTTATATCTTTCACATATTCTGTCTACTTATCTTCCATGATTTTATTATAGTTTGTTGTGCTGTCTCATGCTTTCCAACACAGTTCCTATGTGATTTCTAATTTTTTTCCCTTTTTTTATGCCCTCCCTAATATTAATTACATTCAAACAATAATATGGATTTTTGAAATCTTGGTGGATGCAGGTAGTTACCACTACTTATCAGATGAGACAGTGGTGATTAGAATGGATTTGCTCTGATAATTGAACTATCAAAATTTGACAACTAATATTGTATTATAACTGTGTCCATTATCTACTAGTTGGTCTGCTGGTGCTGGGTCCCTTAGGAATTATCACTTTTTTTACTATCAATGTATTCTGTTGTTTGCATTTGATTACTTTTGAGCAAGTTGGTAACTCATTTGATGTTCCAAAGGCAGCAGAATTGGAAATTGAAGCATATCCACTACTGGATGAGCTTACATCAAAGATCAGTACGATAAACTTGGAGCGTGTTCGCAGATTAAAGAGCAGACTTGTTGCATTGACTCGAAGAGTTCAGAAGGTATGAAGTATTTGCATCTCTCTCTCTCTCTCTTTGTTAGGTAAATGATAGCCTTATGTCTTCTGATACTTTCCCACTCGTTGGGTATCCATTTAGGTTAGAGATGAAATAGAGCAGCTAATGGATGATGATGGAGATATGGCGGAAATGTATCTTACTGAGAAGAAGAGTAGGATGGAGTCATCATTTTATGGTGATCAATCTATGATGGGATTCAGATCAAATGATGGACTCTCTGTTTCTGCTCCAGTTTCTCCTGTTTCTTCACCCCCTGAATCCCGCAGGCTGGAGAAAAGCTTGAGCATTGCAAGGAGTCGCCATGAGAGCGTGAGGAGTTCAGAGAGTGCTACAGGGAGTATAGAAGAGCTGGAGATGTTACTGGAAGCATACTTCGTTTTGATTGATAGCACCCTAAATAAGTTGACATCGGTATGCAGAGCACTTATTGGAGTCTAAATCTTTTTCATCTTCACTTCTCTTGGATGGATGTAACATTATTTTCTCTTGTTTCAGATGAAGGAATACATTGATGACACAGAGGATTTCATCAACATTCAGCTGGTCTGTGATTTTTCCTCTATAGAAAAGTTTGTTTTTGAAATATTATCTATGAACCTAAAGTTGAGAAGATAAAACTCTAAAGCCTCTTTTAGATGCCACTATGCAAATGCAGTCCACCTCACTGGATCTGTGCATCCAAGTGGGTTCTAAGTGATAAACGGATTCTTCACTGCCGGCTGATTAGCACATTTGTTGATAATTGCTTAGAATGAAGATATTAAAGGATGAAGCATTAGATCTTTGTCAACTTTATAATGACGTTAAGAATATGATTGCAAGGCCTAGAATCCAGCTATATTCTCAAAAGTTAGCCTGTACTTTTGTTTTTCTTTCTTCATCTTTCTTTAAGCATCTGACTTTTGAAATCTATGGACAAACTTTGGCTTGCAGGATAATGTTCGAAATCAACTGATCCAATTTGAACTGCTACTCACGACTGCAACGTTTGTTGTTGCCATTTTTGGGGTGGTAGCAGGGATATTTGGCATGAATTTTGAGATACCTTTGTTTGATGATTCTGGTGCATTTAAGTGGGTCCTCATAATAACTGGGGTTTGTGTGATCTTCATATTTTGTGCATTTGTATGGTTCTTCAAGTACAGAAGACTCATGCCCCTATAATGAAATAAAAAAGAAAGCAGTTTTTCCATCATTGTTTTTATCATTTATGTACATGTAATGAGGGAAAACAAAAAAGTTGGCTCTCATTTTAGACCCAATTCTTTTGTTGCAGTTGCATATGTTTAACTATAAAATCAGTTCAGCTATAGGAAAGGAGGGAAATGACATTCTGCAACATATTTCAAACCTTATAAATAGATGCATCGTACAAGCTCTAGGCCCCAAACTCTGGACGCAAACCTTTGCATTCCAAGGCATGGATCTGTTGGCCAACGATATTGTATTGGCATTGATGTGTATGGAAATTCCCACGTGATTGAGATTGTCAAGTTGATTATAATTTGTCATTATGGTGTATCAGCTTCTCTTATTACAGAGAAAAAGCTATTGTTCCAAACATGGGAGGGCAAAAGCAAACAAAACATATGTTGAAACCAAAACAGAACACGCAATGAAGTTATACTATGCTGGATGTTTACTGAGATATATTATCAAACATGCAACAAGCACAAATACACACTATAACTGCTCTGCTCAATGGTCTACATGCTACTCACACAACTCTAACTAAACTACAATACATATAAATACTACTAGACTTGCTGGCAATATTAAGAAGCTATCAACACTTGGGAACTCACAAAAATAATTCCAGTTGCTAATAAAGCGAACTAACTGGTGATGACTCTTAACACCAACTCTCTCTTCTAGCCAATTTCAAATTGATTTAGAATCTTTTTGATTGGCCATCCCAACGATGCTTGAGAAACTTCTGCTCGCTGCCTTCCTTGATCATCTTTCGTTGCCAATACCTCATTGCATCTTCATTATCTTCAACGAGTTCAACCTTAGCAAATGATACATGTGCATCCCATATATCTTCACTCTGAACATCTTTCTTCACTTGAACACTTGAAGTTTCTAGCATTCTCTTTAACAATGATATGCCTCATTTTTCCACAATTGAAGCATTCTTTAGGTGTTAGTAGCATACTTTATAGTTCCGAAACTTCCTCTCAACTAATGTTTTGATACAAAACATGTCTTTTCCAACTGTAATGACTCTTAACACGACTCTCTTTCTAGCCAATTTCAAATGATTTAGAAGCTTTTGACCATCCCAACGATGCTTAGAAACTTGCAGCCTGATCATCTCGTTAATACCATTGATTTTTCAGCTAAAAGAGTTCAACCACAAATAAAATGTAACCATCCCAATAATTTCACTCGAAAATCTTAATTCACTTGAACACTTGAAAATTGCTGATTCTAAATTTAACAAATGATTAATGCCTCATTTTTCAACAATTAAAGCATTCTTTAGTTAATAGCATACTCATATGTTCCAAAAGACCTTTCTCAACTATGTTTTTGATACTCAAACATGTCTTTTCCAGCTTTATCACACTTTCAATGTAGAGCATTGTGCTATTGAAACACTCAATTACCAAAGTTAAATATTATATAAAAAAAAAATTGAAAAAATGAAAATAAGTAATTGGAGTTTGTTGAATTTTGAATGGTTGTAAAGTTGAAGTAAGTTTTTAGTAGAATTAAAAAGAATTGAGATTCCTTTTAGATTGAAATTCTCAGATTCAGAACCTATAATACATATTTACATAGATCACACACAACACAACAAAAATTCAGGGAGACGAGAACAGAAATTAGAGAAAATGTAGTCAAGAAAGATTTTCGATAGATTTTTTAGGGTTTTTCAAAAAAAAATAATGAATTTTTTTAGAAACAATTTGAAAATATTTTCAAATTCCAGCATACTTTTTTCGCAATCTTTGCCTGAGCCGAGGTCGTTAAGTCGCTTTTTGTGTTTGAAGCCAAGCCGCACGCGGAGCTGCTGCTCCATCGAGCGCCCTTTTTTTTTTGATAGTTTTTTTATGTGTTTTTTATAGTATTTTCCCATGATTTAAATTTAAGAAAAAAAGTAAAAATCAAAAAATAAAATATTTTTTGAGATATAGTATTAATTATCCAATTGAATGGGGAATTGTGAATACGAACTTCACAATGATAAAGTTTTAATAAAAATTTTTAGATGAGAAATTTTATTCTAAATTTATTCCCAAATGATGACAAAATATTTAAATAAAATTTAAATAACAATAATTAATATTTATTTTCAATAAAAAAAAAGAAAAAATAAAAAAATAAAATTTTGGTTGAAATTATGTGACAATTATCCAATGATGAGATTCTTAGAAATTTCAAATGGTAAATTTTCTAAAAAATCTCTAGGTGAGAAATTTGTTTAAATTTGTCTCAAATGGTGGAAGAATTTAAATGAAATTTTAAGAAAAATAATTGTCATATTATTTTCTTTCCAAAAAAAAAGCAGAGAAATAAAATGAATTTCTAAATAGGCCAAAATGGTGGAGAATTTAAAAATTCAAAAGAGAAAATGTTTCTAATTTGGCCTAAATGGTGAAATAGTTATATATATTTTCAATAAAAAATAAAAAATAATTAAACATTTTTTCGATGACAGAGCCTCTTCAAGAAAACAAACGAGATTCTTGAATACTCTCGAGGTAAGAAAATATTTTTAAAAATTCTACTAGATTGATAGAAAGTTTTAAGAATTATTTCCAATATTTCATCATAAAAAATTTAAGACCATTAGAACTAAGACCCTATGATAAATTTAAAATAAAATGGTACCATCCTTTGGATGGGCATGTAGAGGTGCTACAACCTTTTCTACATCTAATCAAACTCTCGAATCCTATTCTGGTTAGTAGACTCGAACCTATTTTTTTAAGGACCTTTAGTCAAGCTCAAGAGCTCCTTAAGAGGATAGATTCCTTAGGTGGCCAATCACACCTAGTTAAAAAATATTTATGGCAACTTCATTTGTTAAGTCTAGCTATAGATTTTTGGATCTATATGTTAATAGTTTGGGGACTCCACTGGGGATAGCCATAGAGAGTCAAGCCACAAACTTTTAAATTTATCCTTTTCTTTGGTTAAATGATTTTAAATTGTAATGATTCATGTTAGCTGTTTACTAACATTTTTGTCTTTTATTTTTGGGGCATGAAACCTATATGTTCCTTCACACATACTATCACATGCATTTATATTATATGAGCTCTATACTCAGGCTCTGTCCCTTTTAAGAGGAAGTAAAGTACTTATGCTCTCGTGAGATGATAATCTCCGTAATGGCTAGCGAATTACTCCCACTCAAATTGAATCATTTTCGTTGGTAGCTTGTGATGGGTGAAGATTGGACTGCCTTACTAGTCTGTGATGGACGATGATGTAAGGAACAATTTGAGAACCTTTAATGGTCAAAATCACCTAACTCTACATATAATGCACCCTTAAGAAGCCAGTCTTAAGATAGAGCTCTTCCTACCCAGTGATAGATGTAACCCAAAGTTAGGACACAAAAAGAAACAATTTGTGATCTAACTATTTTGCTTGTTTGACTTTGTGCATTTGCATTACCATAACATGCATCATTTTCATTGTCATTCTGCATCTACATCATTTTTATTTCATCCATGGAAAGGTACATTTCATACATCAACATATCATGCTTAACACATAGCATATCATTTTTTTTATCATAATTGTGGTATTCAAGGTTCAAAGATAGCTCAACCAACCAAGAATCTTACACAATTAACTACCAGTATAACACAAAAGCTTGAGTCAAATAAATGGAATAAGAAAATTTCAATCATCTTGAGAGAATAGAGAAAGCTCAAAAGAAGCTAGAAGGGGAGTTGAATAAGATTTTAGAGGCCCTGAATAAGTTAAATAAAGGAAAAGGAATAGAAAAAAGTACTAGCCAACAAGACCATCAATCACAAAGAGATGGATGACCTACTGTACCCCCTTGGTTTTGGGCCACATCAAGCCTAACCCACACAAGGTCAACCACCATAGCAATTCACCTATCCTATAGGGTATACATACCCTAGAATGCCATCAGCTTCAAATCCACCACAGTACCAAAGTTATGTAAATCCTATCTTTACCGATAAACCAGTAAAACCAATACCAGTTTTTAATTTGAATGATCAAAAAGAGAAAGAAAAGTTGAAACCTAAGGAGAATGAGACTTTAGAAGCTTCAAAAGCTAAACAGAAGATTAACTTATTAAAAGAAAGGTTATGGGCCATAGAAGGCATTGATTTTTATGGTACAGTGGATGCTGCTTGGCTTTGTTTAGTTCCAGATATGGTTATTCCTTCGAAGTTCAAGGTTCTGGAGTTTGAGAAGTATGATGATATAAAGTGTCCAAAGACCTATATGACAATGTATTATCGAAAAATGGCTACCCATACAAATAAAAAACTCTTAATGCACGTTTTTTAAGATAACCTTACGAGTTCTGCTACTAGATGGTATATCTAACTGGACAGAACTTATATTCGTTCTTGGAGTGATATGACCTATGACTTTATTAGTCAGTACCAACATATCATAGACTTAGCCTCTGATTGCCTGTCTTTGCAGAATATAGAAAAAAAGGTAAATGAATCATTCTAGAAATATGCCCAAAGGTGGAAGGATGTAGCTTTTCAAGTACAATCCCTTTTGATTGGAAAGAAAACTACATTGTTGTTTGTTAGCACTTTGAAATCTTTTTATTACGAAAAGATGATAAGAAATGCCACAAAAAATTTCACTTACATGGTGATCTCAGGTGAAATCATTGAGAATGCCATTAAAAATGGCAAATTATAAGGAAGGGAACCTAAAAAGCCAAAGGAAAAAGAGATTGAAGCTCAAGCCATGAACTTTGACAGACAGTTTAAGGGATATCAATCTTATCTACCACAAGGTTATTTCCCATACTATTCTACTGTGAACAATACCTCACCCTACCCATATCAACTATATCTATAACCAGTTTACCCACCAACCCATCAATCAGCTTTTTAAAAACCTATATCAGCTTCAAAGCCTAAAATCAAGCAAGTGGTTTAAGGAGATCTCGGGATAACCAAGAAAAGGCACATATTGGCCCTATCCCTATGACATACACTGAGTTATTCCCAAAATTGGTCAAAAATAATTTGGTATCTTCAGTTATTCTAGAACCATTAAAGCCACCCTATCCAAAGTGAAACGATGCTAATGCAACATGCGATTATCACAATGGGAATGTAGGTCATTCTATTGAAATCTAATCTGCTTTCAAACACAAAGTGTAAAGTTTGATCCGAAAAGGCTTAGTGAACTTTGATGAATCAGGGGGGCAAGATATCAATAAAAATCTTTCACCTTATTGCATTGGGGCATAATTTTGAGAAGGATATTAAGGCTGGTTGGAAAATTACTTGTCATTTTAAGATTTCTTTCAAAGTAATATTAGGAATTTTTTCATGCAATAAGATTTCATTTTTTATCATTTCAATAAAAGGCAAGGATGATGCATTTCATTACATTTTCTCTTTCATCCAACCACTATTCCATGTTTTGTTTTTTTTCATGTCCTTTTGTTGTCATTTTCAAATTTCAAATGATG